ATAATATAAAAAATAATATATTTTTAATAATATATAAAAATAAAATAATACATTTTTAAATTATATATAAATGCTTTTTTTGTTTTATTTTTATATAAGTATTTAATATATCTAATTAAAAAATAAATAAAAGTAAGTTTTCAATTGTTTTATTTGAATATTTTTTAAAATAATTTTATTTGATATATTTTAATCATGATTTATAATACATATTATATATTTATTTTTTATTATTATTTGTTAATTTTATTTTTTGAAAAAATGATTCCCACACATATGGGAATGAGAACCTTTCATTTACTATGGAATGGCTAATCCCATGGAGATGGGTTTTGCCATTCCCACTGGAATGATCATTCCTTCCCAAAAAATATACCAATCATGGGATAAGGAATGAGTAAGGGATGATCATTCCATTCCCATGTCATTCCTTCATACCAATCATGTCATTAGTCTCCCCAAAATGAGAATCAAACATACACAAAGAACATGAACAACAGTTAATGAGAGTAACCTGACTCCATAACTGCACAGACACACAAACAGACTTCCTTAGCTGCACCAACACAGAAAAGCAAATATAAACATAACTGAACTAAGAGACATTGAAATAAAAGAGAACACTACTGAACCAAAGGACCTAGTGGTCTTCTTTTCTTCATTGCTACTCAATTTTTAGCCTGCATTCCTTGAACTCCACCCAGTCATGCTGTGCAGCCCTAAGAAGTGCAGTATCAGGCATCCAAATGGCTTCAAACTGCCAAGATTTCGAGCTTTCCAAAGCCACCATAGTATGTAAGTTGTCAACTCAATTCTAGCTTCAGAAACCTCTCTTTTATCTACTGAACAAGCATTCCACCACCACTGCTTAAAGGAGCCTGAGTGCATATCCTCATACCAGTTGAGTGGAGCTAACTTCCAAATTCTTTTAGCCCTATTACAATGTAGCAGAACATGCTCTACTGATTCCCAATCCTCTCCACAACAACAACATCTAGGATCAACTTGAAGACCTCTTTTCTTTAGATTCAGCCTAGTTGGAAGTGTATTTGAATAACACTTCCAGATGAAGTGCTTGAGTTTATGCTTGATCTTCAAGTTCCAACTTCTATTTCTGATTTGTTTTTCCTTATGGGCTGAGTCACTGCTTTCTGCCACATCAAGTTCCCTAAGTTTGTTGAGCACCAGATGTGAGTAAGAACTGGCAACTGAAAATCTGCCTTTAGCATCTAAAGTCCACTGCCATCTATGAGATAGTAAAGGGTCCAGAGATTTAATGTTCAGAATAGCCTCTACATCTGATGGATGAAAACACTCATGCAGCAAATCTTTGTCCTAGGTTTTACCATCTTCTTGAATTAATTCCTTCACCCAAGTCACTGTGTTGACCCCATGCTCATTCCTAACAGGTAAATAACCCACATTTCCAGTCAACCATGGATCCTGCCATATATTGATATGCCTTCCCTGTCTAACCTCTACCCTGAAGCAGTCTTTAAATTTATCTCTAATTCTCATCCAACTACTCCATAGCCAAGAAATGTTGTAAGGCCTTTTAGCTTGTAATAAAGAACAGTCATGGAAGTACTTACCTTTCAACACTCTAGTCATAAGCAAATTGGGGTGGGTGATCAGCCTCCAAAGTTGCTTGAGAATTAGGGCTTCATTGAAGAGGTCCACATCTCTAAAGCCTAGACCTCCAACTGCTTTAGGCATGGTGATGCAGTCCCATCTTTTCCAATGTACTCCAACCTGCAAATCCCCTCTCCTCCACCAAAAAACAGCTGACATTTTGGATATTTCCTGACAAACTCCCTTGGGTAGGCAGAAACAAGACATTGAGAAGATATGGAGTGCACTCAAAACTGCTTTCATCAGAACTTCTTTACCAGCATTTGATAGAAATTGATTCTTCCCGCTACTCATTTTATCCCTAACAGCCTTCAAAATGTAGTCAAAAGATTCTTTTTTAGATCTACCAATCCTAGTGGCAAGCCTAGGTACCTTGTAGATCTATGAGATTGAATATTTCCCAGCAATTGACATATCAAAGCTTTATGAATTGGCAGACAATTCCTACTGAAAAAAATTGAGGATTTGCCCAGATTCACTTTCTGACCTGTGAATCTCTGATATTTGAACAACAAAGACATAAGTACTCTGACATGCTTATCATCAGCTTCACACATTATCAAAGTATCATCTGCAAACATCAAGTGAGACACTGCAGGGCTGTTCTTAGCAATTTTCAGACCCTTGAAAAGACCTTTCCTTTCTTCATCAATAATAAGCCTAGATAGCACCTCTGATATGATAATGAGTAAATAAGGTGATATGGGGTCACCTTGTCTGATGCCTCTGGAAGCAGATATGTAACCTTTCAGCTCCCCATTGATGTTGAAAGAATAGGTAGTGGAGGATATGCATGCCCAGATCCAGTTAACAAACACAGGGTGAAAGCCCATCTTCAACATCACCTTCTTGACACTTTCCCACTCAATTCTGTCAAAGGCCTTCTCCATGTCTAACTTCAACAACATGTAACCTTTCATTCCTGATGTGTGCCTGTTGAGAAAATGAACACTTTCCTGTGCAATCACCACATTATCTAATAGCTGCCTTCCAAGAATGAAGACAACTTGATTCTCACTGATACAGGCAGATAAACAAGGCTTGATTCTCATAGATAATATTTTAGCAATGACTTTATAAGCTACTCCACATAGACTAATAGGTCTGTATTGCTTCAAATTTGCATGGTTCAAGAACTTGGGAATTAAAGATATAACAGTGTGATTCCAGTTCTTCAGGAGTTTACCAGATACAAAGAAACTAAGAACGACCTTACAAAAGTCATCACCTATTACATCCCATAATTTTTTAAAGAAAATGGGACTCATACCATCTTGGCCTGGTGCTTTCCCTAGGTCAAAACTGAATAAAGTTGCTTTAATTTCTCTCTTGTGATTGGTGCAGTAAGTGTGGAATTCATATCAGAAGTTATAGTCTCTGGAATTAGGTGCAAGAGATCATCTACTCCAGTTGAACTTTCTGAGCAAAATAGATGTTCATAG